AGGCAGCAGAATAGGTAGTCTAATTAATGTTAGCAAATCGGTGCGTAATATACGTTATGTATCATCTGGAACATGACCTAACTTCAAAGCCATCGTTTTACATTAGTAACAAAATCAGAACCGTTGTAAATACAATTGTGCTGCACTTGATTTTTGTAGAGCAATAAGTCTGAGTAAACATGATATATATATGTTCATATGTTTCTGCATACAATAGTAAGTGGTCCTCTGAGTTTAGATACCTAAGTTACCAAGGTAAGTGGAAGGGGCTGGCTAGTAGCTCAACCGAGTCATTCAACAGTCCTCGGCCTCTCAAGTTAGCCCCCAACACACATATTGCTTATGTTTTGTAGAAAGGCATCTGCAATTACATCACCAAACAGTTCTACTTCTGTCAGAGCCATATTTCTGGTTTGGAAAAGAAAATACCATGAGACAAGTATATTATTGATATTTTAAATTAAGTAAAGATACAGTAATCTCGTAAGTGAATATCCTACTGTTAAAGTTCACTAAAGTGGTGGAGATCATTACAGAGGCACACTTTCCTCTAGCACCTTCTTTCAGGAACAAAAATACAAACTGCTGCAAAGGATACATAAAACGTGTGTGGCTGCTGCGTGCGTTTGCGGAACGCAAGCAGGCAGGAATGTTAGAATAGATAGTGTAGATGTTCGCGCTTCCTTGAACGGTTGTATGTACTACATATTATTAATAATTGAACATTTATAAGACGCTTTTCGTATTTCGCACAAATTAGACGTTTTTTATGTGCGGAAGTTGGCGAGCCTGACAATAGCACCCTCCAGCTATTGTATTAGATGTTGGAGAGTTCGAAGACCCTGGTGTAAGCGAAAAAGCAGAGCACTCACCTAGGACGATCCACATGACGATGATGTTGCCGCCGGTAGCGACGAGCAGCATGGCGCCGAAGACCAGCGTCCACGCGAGCTTCTGCCACCAGGGCAGCGCGTAGGGACGCGACGCGGACGCGTGGCCGGCGGCGGCGTCGGCGGCGGCGGCAGCGGCGGCGGCGCCGGGCCCGAACAGGCAGTCGACGAGGGCGTCGCGGCGCCCGGCGTCCACCTCGCCCAGCGCCGCCTCCAGCAGCTGCAGCAGCTGCGACCGGTTCAGCTGCCACTGCGCCACGTCCGCCACGAGCAGCTGCGTGCAGTTGAGCAGCACCGCGTCGCTCACCTCGCCCCCACCGCCCTCGCCCGCCATCACACGCCCAGAACACGCCCGGCGCGCACTATCGCGGTTCACTCATCGCCGCATACTCCTTGGTGACGCAGCCGAAAACGTCGATGTTTGCACTCGATTCCACACACTCCGTATATTCTCGATCGTCTCTTTTTTTATCGAGAGAAACGGCACCCGTTCATCCAGAAGGTATAGATATAACACTTTCTTGCACACATTCACATGACAGACTTCATCCTGTTTGAATCACTAAATGATCACCACTTTGTTTTACATGCTCGCAATTTTCTTTTATTCGACAGTTGACGGCAAGTATTTTCAGAATCCTAACAACAAAGCTCCGGATTCTTTACAACGCACTAATCCCATCTAGAAAAAGATACATCATGAAGATTAATCAGCGCTTTGGATCATTCGTTCTAATAAAGTCGATCTAACTTCGTGGAAACAACAGCTATTCCCAGCAGAACCCGATGACGAACTCCAAAGCCACCTTGTATCCGAGGAGTCGCCGGGGGCGGTGGCGGCCGCAACAAGGCAGCGCGCTCTCTATCGGAAATCGGTGGCTCCGTGAGGAGGGCCGTCCGTTGCCACTGCCGCCCCCGCCGCCCGCCGCGAGAGCGCGGGGCTAGCGAACGACTTCCGGAGTTGACGCCAACTTCCACAGAGAACTCCGAGTTTTGACAAGATATCCGCGTTCGCCCTCAGTAGTCCCGCTCGCTCCCCGCCCCCTCGCCCCGCAGGAGCCAACCCATTAGCGCCCGCAGACGGAGGGAAGTTAAGAGGCCGCCGGTGGGCGAGTGGCCGAACAGGAGGACGCACGTTGGCGGCTTCTTAAATCGCCTCCCCCCCCTCGCTGATCCACCTTGTAGGCGGAACCCCCTCACTTCCAGCTCTGCTTCGGGAGAATGCGCCTCATCCTCCCAAACGATTCAAGAATCTCTTCACGCCACCCCTTGAAAAGATCCGACTTGCCGTTGCATGCAATCAACCTCACTTGTAGATCCTAACCCTAACAGCTTTGCCAAATGTATATTCGTCCAAAAATTTACCCAACCGTAATTTTCGATCACTAATATTGGCAAAAAGGAAAGTCGTAAAATGAACACGCAGGAACGGCTTCATATATTTTCAGCGTCTCGGAATGTGCGGGAGCTTAAAATTCTTCAACTCCTTTTTCGTCAAGATGTTGTCTTCTCTGCCAGATGGCTCGTGGTTTGCGGCGGCAAGGGATGCGAATAGAACACGGTCTCCCGGCGATATCAACAGGAGAAGCTTGCTGAGGCACGGACCTGAAACATACAAGCAAGTTCCTCGGTACTTTTCTGTCTGAGCTCACCTTCTCACCTTAACCCTAGGTAGCTCTCCTATCATTTCATCTTCAATGTCGTGCCAAACAAAAACACAGATAGACAAAAATACAGGGAACATCAGTAAATTTTCTTTCTTACTGTTATCTTGCCGAAGCAATAAGCGCTCACATTGACCTAACGTACACTCACACAGGTAGCACGAAAATGAAGGCGTGAACATGTGAAGACCCAGTTTCGGTATCGCGGATGTAAATACTCTGTTTGAAGATTCACTTTGTTACTGTTTAGAGAAGTGATATTCATGGGAATTGTGCAGCACTGTCGATGCACAGGCAAATAAGCACAACAGTGCGGAAACACCGCATGAACGACCAGGTTACCGCGAGAGAGTGAACTCTTTACAAGTTAACCGAAAAGACTTCCCGATGGCGAGAGAGGGTTTCTTTAACTTCCGTTCCTTCCTCCTGGGATACCTGTCGGCGCTCCTCCATTCCCTGCCTTGGGAAAACTACGGACAGACAGGACAGGTGGGACATACGAAACAGATTGTTTTGCCATCAATCGATTTTTCAATATCAAGGAGGTACACAACATGAATTCTGATTACACAACGTGTTAGAAAAAGTATTTACTATAAAGGGTGAGTCACGCAACTTAAGTACCTCCTGCAGTTTTTGAACGGTTCAAATTATTGCAATTCAATTTTCATGGATGTGCACGAAGCTAATCAATACATGTATTCATTTCTATTTTGTCACTTGTATTTTTACGAGGTATTGGGCTTGAATTTTTGTTGTTGTTTTTTTTAATGGAACTATACATTCTTTTAGTCTATTGTGACGAGTGTAAAAAGACGAATTCAATGATATACATATTTTCATGTGTTAGATAAGCGTTGTTTTGAGTAATTTTGATTTTTTTGCGACTCGTGTTTAACAAGTATTTTGAAAGTAACAGCCTGCCGCTGAAGGTCACGCAGCGCTTTCCCCGCTAAAGTGCTAGGGCAAGCGAAGCTGATCGAAGAAATTGAAGAATCGAAACATTTTGTTTTCGAAAATTCCCCGTTTTCCGGTTCACGATAAATATACTTAATCTTCTTACGTACGTAAGGGCATGAAAATAAAAATAGCCCTTCTCTACTTGTCCTGGGTTTGCCTAGTAAATATTTTCTTTGCCCTTCCACTTCATGAAATTTGTTTCAGAAAAATATTTGGGCGGTGTTGTACATGAATTGACCAAGCGCCAAAACTTGATTTCGAGATATTAAAACAAATGAGAAAGTATTAATATAAATTCAGCATCTGTCCCAAATTTTGTTTTGTAAACGGAAAACTAATTAAAATTAATTAAATTTTCATGCCCGTATCGTGAAAATATGAAAAATGTAGCGAAATTGCATTTGTGTAGAAATGGCGCTTGGCCATTTGATGCTTTAATAAATACTTTCATGTCCGTGTTTTTCATTATCTGACAACAATCCAAAACATGTCACTTAATCAAGTGATGCAAATTAGAGAGATACGTAGGGCCATTCCTTTTTGTAATGTTTTACGATACCATAACATTTTTCTTGTTTACAATATATTTAATTGCAATAAAGTGATATACATACATAAAGAATACAGCATTATCACTGAATTTTTTCACATTTTCTTTGCCTTTTTATTGAAATAACAACTTGTTATTCTGTAAAAACCCCTAGTTATATGATAAAGAAATTACAAAATCTTCCTAACACAATATTACAGACATTGCTCGAAAGAAAGAAATAATAACAAATGTCAATATTATAATAATAGTAGATTATTCAATTAGTGAATAATGTTAAGCCTTATTGCATGAGTACACGTTTTAAAAACAAGCGACGTTAGGAGTGGGTTTACAGAATGCAATAAAGCAACATTATAACCGAGTTGCATACGCTATTTTTTGTATAACCACATTATAAATTTACAAGAGAATCAAACCTAATTTTGCGTAACAACTTCCTTATGATGACTCGGGAATTTGACATCTGTGCGAGAAAATGGTGGTCGACTGTTCCGTTCACCGCTACCTCCCCACGATTCTCTCGATGCGATAGGCTGACTGTGTGATGACGCAATAATTCGTGCTGTGAATCTAATATATCATTTATGCCGTAAGATGTCTTTTATGAACGATTTCGTGTAGCAGAAAATGTCGTTTATAATGCTGGTATACAAATAGAGCTCTTACAAAGCGTAAATATAAGTATACGGTTTTTAGGGATTGAAACTTAACACTTATGTTAGTACATGAAAAATGCAATATATAAATAAAAAATACATATTTCTTTATTTGACGTTTCACCATCATCAACAAAATCAGGTGGCGGGTGTCTAAGCCGTCAATGTCATCATCGATATCAGAGTGGCTGGAGAGCTTGCGGTAAAAAGCTAGTACATCATTTGTAGAGATCATCAGGTTTGTTAGAGACCGAATGTCGTTTAGCTGGTCTTCAAGAATTAGTTTCCCGTTTGGCCAAAGAGGCGTTAGGAGGGAATGAAAATTAGTTGTTTTGCATTTGGTTAGATTGACATGTTTTCTTCTTAACGTCAACATCAAATAGTTCACTATTAAATTCAGTTTTGAAAACTAAAGTGAATGCCTTGTCTCTTAAGAGTTCTAGCTCTCTCATCTTCAGTCAGTTTACTTTTTCTTTTCGGGAATTAGTTCTGTGATTGACAATTTTCTTTTAAATATAGACAATACTCTTGAAATGTTCAGGTTTCATTCTTTGCGCTGTAAGATACGTATTTTACGTAAGTACGTATTTTCATGACATGCCATGTAGTTGTGTGGTGTAGTCTCTATTGCAGTTTGAGAACGCATTCTATATCTCCGAAATCGGTCATTCGGAAGGAATCTGTGTCCAGATATACAAACCTCTTCCTAATTCTCTTCACTGTAGGATATTGAACTAAATCTGATATTAGCATTATAATAAATTACATACTTCAAATACAATTGGAGGATTAACTCGCAATCAGATACACACAACGCAAACCACGGGCGGGAACAAAACAATACCGAATCACGTGACCAAACGACGATCACTTGTCGCTTAGTCAACTGATGTGAAACAAAATCGTTAGACTGGGCGGTTAGTCAACTGATGCAAAATATAACTTTTATAGTGATATTTTGGCGCTTGGTCCAAATTAACATCCCGTCGATAAAAACAAAATTGAATGTTAAACATTTTTTTTAATATGTTGTTTACACCTTCACGTACATCCTGATGCAAAAATCTAAAAAAACAAAATGGCTCTTAGTCAATTGATGCATAACACCGACAATGTAAGGTATAAATACATTGCGACACAACTGCCCACAACCCCAAACATCATTAACAGAAATATAATGGATTTCCAATCCTACAATCCCGAACACTTTCGAAATTGTTTTTGTGCGGACATGACTTATGTAAAAGGATATTATGTTTGGACGAAGAGAAAATTAAGATTGCAATAGAAAAGCTCGATATTTTAGGGACTTATCTAACGCACACTCCCACTGAAATGTTATTATAGAATTAGTGGGGCTAGAACAACTTGTACTTTCTCGCATTATTTGTAACGGCTACCTAATATTATAAAATGACATGAATCTGCAATCATCTAGCATTTGTACTTTCTCGCACTTACTAACGTAAGAAAGAAAAGTATTGGAATCGTGCGACGGCAAAAGGAAATTTTGGACACAAACACTATACTTGCTGGAACCTGGTAACGAAAGAGTGAATAAATCCAGTTTGCTAAATATAGAAAACTAGTTCCTGTAACTCGTGATGCATCCATGATCATTGTTTTGCGCATCCTTGATATCGAAAAATCTATTGACAGCTAACCGTCCCACTCAGTCTCCGTCCCACTCAGTGTCTGTCTCTCTGTGCCCGTCCGTCAACAACGCTAGCGCATTAACCGGTCAGCCTTTTTTCTCCAAAATGTGTATTCCCCAACCATTCTAGCTGATGTCGCGGACCCAGGAATTTGAAACCGATATTTAATTTTTGTGGTTTCTTTCTTTACATGAAGCTCCTAGAATATTTTCAATTTTTTTGAAATTGCACCAATTTTTTAAAAAAATAGTTATTTAATAGTTTGGAGGACATTTAAAAGAATATGCAGATCTCGACTTCATTAAAATCCTTGATTTAATCGAAAATTGCAAAAAAAATGTTTTAATGAAGATTATTATTTTTGCCTCAGACAATGTCTATTTACTAAATTAGCTTTTTAAAACAGCTCATGTACAATTTTGTGCACAGGTTGGCAATTTTCGTGAAATATGCATTTAAAATTTACGCATTTTTTCTCTCAAAAACTCAAAATTCATTCTTTAAACTTTCTCCGCTTCTGAAATAAGAGACGGCGAAAAATATGGTGTTGGTCCTATTTTCCGGTATCACAGATGGGGTATCGAAGAACCGCGGGTTCGAATACCGCTTCGGGTATGGTTGTATTTGTGTTCGTTCATTCACTTCCTAGCATCACAATACGTCGGGCAGAGACGGGCAGGAATGGGCAGAGAGAAAAAGAAAAGGAGGGGAATTAAATTTTTTTTCTTTCTTTAACCTGTTATCTTGGCCCCGAAGCAAATAAAGCTTCTCTCACAATTGGACCTAAACGTACAATCACACAGGTAGCAACGGAAAATGAAGCGTGAAAGCATGTTGAAGACCCCAGTTCTCGGTATCGCGGATGTAAATACCTCTGTTTTGAAAGATTTTCAGCTTTGGGTTAGCTGGGTTTTTAGAGCAAAGTGATATTCATGGGAAAAGTTGTGGCAGGCACTGGTCGATGCACAGGCAAATAAAGCTAGACAACAGTGCGGAAACCGCATGAACGAGCCAGGTTATCCCCCCAGGGCGGAAAGAAGAGTGAACGTCTTTAGCAAAGTTAACCGAAAGACTTCCCGATGGCGAGAGAGGGTTTCTTAACTTCGTTCCTTCCTCCTGGGATATACTGTCGCGCGTCCTCATTCTGCCTTGGGAAAACTACGGAAGCAGACAGGAACACGGTGGGACATACGAAAACAGATTGTTTTGGCCCATACAATCGATTTATTCGATATCAACGGAGGTACCACCATTGA